CATATTTGATGTGTTTGTGATATCTTTTATAAAGTGTTAATGCATTAGATCTCTCAGCTTCGTATGTTGCAAGCTTTTAATATTACCAAACAGAAGAGCAATTGTCATCATAAGTAACTGGATAGCAACATGAATAATCAGCTTCAATAAAACCAATGGAAGACAGATGTTGCTTTTGTGTAGATAAGAAACAAAGTGATGAATTCATATTTTTCACAGAGTACCTCGTCACACCTGGCGAATACTGCAAATACGATACACACTGTATTGAGGGACTGGAGTGTCAGGACAATGTGTGTTCATGCCCCAGGTAAGAAGAATGCTTATTTTTTCTTTCCTGTAATATATTCAAACTGATGAATGATGAAAACACTCTACTGTGTTGATACTATGGTAGAAAAACCCACAATGTAAAAATGTAAAAACTAGATTTATTGTTTTTACATTGTGGGTTTTTCTACCATTCAAACTGATATAATTTGTTATTTTATTGGAGTAGCCTTTCTCATCTATGTTTTTTGAAGGATGTAATAATTGGATAAGATCAAGGGAAGTTCCCAGTAGGAGAAATAAATCTTTTAACCCATTGGTGCCAGGTTATTACACTGGCCACCAATTTTTTTTTTATAATTATAAATTCCTTGAATTTTGGGAAAGTTATATTTTTTCTCATGCTGTTAATATCATGATTGTTATTATTATTATTATTATTATTATTATTATTATTATTATTATTATTATTATTATTATTATTATTATTATTATTATTATCTCTTTTATTATTATTATTATTATTATTATTATTATTATTATTATCATCTCTTTTATTATTATTATTATTATTATTATTATTATTATTATTATTATCATTATTATTATTATTATTGTTATTATTATTATTATCATCTCTTTTATTATTATTATTATTATTATCACTGTTATTATTATTATTGTAATTAATACTATTGTTTTACTATTATTATTATTGTTATTATTGTTATTGTTAATATTACTGACAGCAATAAGAAAAAGAAAATAAAAATCTTTCCAAAAATCAAGGAAAAGGATAAACATGTATGGTCAACTAGCAATAGTAATTGACAGGGCCGGATCCAGGGGTGTGTGTGTGTGTGTGTGTGTGTGTGTGTGTGTGTGTGTGTACACCCCCCCTATTTTTGGCAGAGTAATTATTTTTTTAGACCAGGAATTTTTTACTCATCATCAGGGAAAGATGTGGGATATAGGTAGGAAAAGTCCCAGTCAGCATTAGAAGGGATAATTGATAGAAACTTTCTATCCCGCTTAGGCTTCATGCCTTCGGCACTCGCAATCGTCTCGGCTAGGGGTTACGCCCCCCCTTTCTAACAATCCTGAATCCGGCCCTGACTGACTCCATGGTGACCAAGCTTTTTTATTTGTAAGCAAAATTAATAAACTAAATTTGCAGTGGACATGGTATATATATATTTATATATATATATATATATATATATATATATATATATATATATATATATATATATATATATATATATATATATATATATACATACACACACACATATACACATATACACACACATATACACATATACACACACATGTCACCACGGTTAATGGATGTTTGCCATATATATTTATTTATCAGTATATTTTCCTTAAAGGACACATATCTGGATGAGATATTTGAAATGACATGTTTATTGATTTTTTAAAGAATCATTTATTTACCTTGTTATTTTATTTATGTTTTATTTATTTATTTTTAAAAGATATTTTTCTTTTTTCTAAGCTCCTGTACATACAAGAAGGAAAAGGAAATATGTGACTGTGGAGAATCTGACAGTGCTGTTGCTCCAATATGTGTAGGTGTCTTATCAGGTGTATTGATAATTGGATTTTGGATCACAACTATTAACAGGACAATTGACAGGTAATTGAATGGAATTCTTTCTCTGTTTGTCTGTCTGTCTGTTTGTCTATCTGTCCGTCTCTGTCTGTCTCTGACTCTGTCTGTCTCTATCTCTGTCTCTGTCTCTGTCTCTGTCTCTCTCTGTCTCTCTCTGTCTCTGTCTCTGTCTCTGTCTGTCTCTATCTCTGTCTGTCTCTGTCTGTCTCTGTCTCTGTCTCTGTCTCTGTCTCTGTTTCTGTCCTGTTCTGTCCTGTCTCTGTCTCTGTCTCTGTCTCTGTCTCTGTCTCTGTCTCTGTCTCTGTCTCTGTCTCTGTCTCTGTCTCTGTCTCTGTCTCTGTCTCTCTCTCTCTCTCTCTCTCTCTCTCTCTCTCTCTCTCTCTCTCTCTCTCTCTCTCTCTCTCTCTCTCTCTCTCTCTCTCTTTTGCTCTTTCTCCCTTTTTCACTTTCTCTTTCTCTTTCCCTTTCCCTTTCCCTTTCCCTTTCCCTTTCCCTTTCCCTTTCCCTTTCCCTTTCCCTTTTCCTTTTCCTTTCTCTTTCCCTTTCTCTTTCCCTTTCCATTCCCTTTCTCTCTCTCTCTCTCTCTCTCTCTCTCTCTCTCTCTCTCTCTCTCTCTCTCTCTCTCTCTCTCTCTCTCTCTTCTCTCTCTCTCTCTCTCTCTCTCTCTCTCTCTCTCTCTCTCTCTCTCTCTCTCTCTCTCTCTCTCTCTCTCTCTCTCTCTCTCTCTCTCTCTTTCTCTCTTTCTCTCTCTTTCTCTCTCTCTCTCTTTCTCTCTCTCTCTTTCTCTCTCTCTCTTTCTCTCTCTCTCTCTTTCTTGTTTTCTCTCTTTCTTTTATATTTTCTTTCTTTCTGTGATTTTTCTCATGTATAGATAATTGTTTCCTTAAATGAGGATAGAGAAAACATAAAAGGTTGTACATGAGAATATAATTTTTTTCTTTTTCTTTCTCTTTTTTTTTTAAGCCATAAGCAAAAACAGAATGTTCAGCAAGTAGAAGAATCTACTTCAGAGCAATCAACTCCACGTGCATATCCTCTTACTCCGGTTGCTTCTTCAGCACAACCTGAAACAGCTTCAGCACAGAATACAGGTGTCATGGAGGTTACATCAGAGGAAACACAGGCTGATCAGTTGCCAACAAAATCAGCAGCACCATATCCAATGACTCCTCTGGCACCACCACCGGCACAGTCCATAGGCTTTCAGAACCCTGCCTCAAATCCAGCTGCATTACCCGAGTGTCCTCCGTACTCTTTTAGCACCCCAGAAGCCCCTAGTTTTGCTCCCACTGCACCTAATGAACCTCCTCCACCATACTCTCTTTACCCTTCACAAGATCAAACCTTACCTTCTTACACTCCTAGTCAGTTTCCTAATGCCACTGCACCACCTGTTTCAGAAAGTTCGTCAACAATACCATGCCCTCCCAATCCCTCAACTCTACCTTATCCATACATTCCTTGAGGAAGCACCATACCCTTTAGAAATCTCTCCCAGATCTCCAGTAAAGATTTATTCATTGATGTTACAATATATACCTAAACTAGATTCATCTGTATTCTCATGTTGCCATACTGACAAGAAAAAGTATGTTCTCCATATTCAGAGCAAAGAGACTGCTCATGCAAGGTGGGAAGTTACTGTTCCCATTTGGAGAAATATAGGTGAAGAAAATGCTTCATATCAATCTGTGTGGTTGCCTGGTGAAGTCCTGCAACAGCTGAGAAAGAACCTAGAAGTTATAGGTTTTATCATTTTATTAGTTGTTTAATACAATGCACACAAGAAAGCCATGAGTTTTGATATTTAATGACTATGATATTATTCACTGAGAATGTTTTGCCTGTATGAGTTACTATAATTTGTATGTCATTTACAGGAGACAGCTTCGTAAATAGACTGTACAACTTCTTACGATGATAAACTCATGATTATTTAGGAAGGAGGAAGTTCTTCACAAGCTTTATATGCAACTGTAAGTTTAATCCCAAAGAATAATAGTTTTAAAAAATGACAGAGCTCAGAGTTCTTTAATGCAGATTCTGTCCTAACAAGAACACATTATAATAAGTCAGTTTTCCAAAGACTTATTAATAGTCTTGCCAGTAGTTTTGAAGGATAGTGGTGGTGTAAAGTTTAGGATGCGAGTCATGATAATTTTCTTCATATTCCTGCATAGTCTTTCTGAAAGTTCTTTCAGCTATCCTATCAAGAACTCAGTAGTTCCCATGGATTATTATTAATTGCTGGAAAGGTCAAAGAGCAGAAATCAAAGGCAGGGTCCATTTCTTTGCATACATTTGCATATTTTATATAGCTTGTTTTGAAGCATTTACAGCATTAATTTTACTTGCTGTGATTAGGCAATTTAATTTTTGAACTTGTGTTCAAGTACATGTAGACTTCCAAGCAGACTATGGCATCTTATCCCATACCCATGGCAATAAGTTGAAGGAGTAAATGAGGGTGACAAACTGTTTTTACAATATCCAGCTAGCTTTAAGTATTGGTCTGGTCTTAGTACAAGCCTTTTATAGGGCAGTCCTTCCTTATTGCAGCCCTCCTTTTATAGAGTAGGTTGTTACAGTCATCAGACTGCCATGTTGTAGAAGATTTAGGGCATTTTCAACTGTGTCCTTGATACGATGGAACTTTTATAATATTTGTAAATGTTTATATGCATCAGTCTCAAGCAACCCACTATTTAGAAATATGAAAACAGGGTACTTTTGTCTTTTAAAATGGTGTATATGTCCCAATTATTGTTGGAGATAGCTTGAATCTAAATTTATCACTGTTCAGAATGGTTACTTCTATTCTCAGGAATAGATACAATCATGTTGAAGAGACTGCCTTTGGGAGATGGAAATATCATCTAAACAATGATATACTTATTGAAGTCTCCCAAACATACAAAGCTGTGGTAGAAAAACCCACAATGTAAAACTAGATTTATTGAAAGTGAGAAAGTGGTCTCACTTTCAATAAATGTAGTTTTGCATTGTGGGTTTTTCTACCATAGTATCAACACAGTAGAGTGTTTTCACCATTCATACAAAGCTGTGTCAATTGTCTAAACAGGTCTTTCTA